TTTAAACAATAGTGCTTTTGAAATATGAAAAGTGGCTTACATTATAGTCAAGAGACGATATTTACATTAAAATAGTGCATGTTTACACATATAAATATATCGAAAAGTACATAATTAAAAACAAGCTTGAAACAGCTTCGAATGACTTTAGGTTTCGGCAAAACGAAAGCTTAATTCTATATACAGCGTGAAGCAAGCATAGATCGGACTCTATGACTAACTTAAGCTAAATTGATTTCTAACCTCGTACAAATAAGATACAAACTTACTATACTAATAATGAACGCAGTTCACGCACAACTTAGTTTACCAAACGATATGTTAATCGTAATTGATGAGTATTAGGTACATAAATAAATAGTTAGTCTCGCTAGAGATGTGACGCTCCGAATAGAATAGGCACACAATTATCGATAAAATCATATTTTTTTTTAATAAAACCAGATTCTTATCTACGCCACACATCCTCGCTTAGTAAAACACCCTTAAACTGTTTACAAATCAAAAATATTTAAATTAACACAATTTGTATTATAATTTCCTTACGAGTCTCATCTTTATGATTATAAATTACACTTTTACAATATTGGATATTTATTTCAATTAAATCAATAAATAAGATGTTGATTGAGATTTACCTTTTCAATAAGAATAAAGTAACAATTCATCGGATGTAGCCGCCTGTATTCGTAATGAAACATCATCATACAATGACCTTATTTAAAAGCGATAACACACAGCGCATCTTAACTAGCAAAACTTGGGTACTAGTGTCCCTGATACAATAAAATATGATTTTATTTCTATTATTTACCTACAAGAAGCTAAGGAAAATGCAAAATTTACAAAAATACAGTAACATCTCTTGGAAGCCGGTAGAGGTAGTTTCGGGTATATCTTTGCTTGAAAGTAAGTCAGTTTACATTACTGTAAGGAATTTCTTAAGGGAATGTGCAAAAACTTAATAACAGAGCATTATGAGCTAAAATATATAATTATGTTTTCTATAAAAATATTAAGTATGCGTTACACTTAATACTAAATAAACACTAGTACCTAAGATCCAAGTTTTGCACACAATACAACATCAATTTCAGCCATTTCTGTCTTAACGACGGCGTAAAAACGTATTTATTGCTTGTACACGTATAATATTTCAATATATAGTGTCCGCTACATCGCAAACAATCTCAAATAAATTAGTACTCTTTATAATTACAATAATGATTGTCCATAAATTATATTTTATTATCATCTGATATGTATAATTATGGTATATGATAGTAAGAATGCTGTTTTCTTTTTGATAAGCGTTTGCCGTTGATAATTAAGAGAAATACTAATAATGAAAATAGTACGTCATTGTACGAAATGACCCCAAATAACTTAATTTGGTATAAATCTAAATATAATTCTACTAGAAAAAACCACGCGGTCTAGGCAGTAGACGGAACCGCATGCTTTTTTTCTAGTAGAATTTTCTTTAGATTTGTAAATCTAGCAATAATGCTTAAATTAAATTTAATAAAATTAAATTGGTATAATTGAAGAAAAGTTAAAAAAATATATTTGTTCCTTTTATTCTTCCCTGTTCCCTTTATCGTCTAACCCGCACATTTAGTTCTTCCATCTAGCATTTTCTATTAACTAACTATCGATAAATTCAAATTTATCGAATGCGTTTATCACTATTTAAACAATTGACCGTACTCATTTCGATGTCTTCACAATCTAATGTAAGTAATTATTTTGTAGATCTCTTCCTTTTTCTTAAACTGAGTTGGCAAAGTTTATCAAAATCGAGCACAGCTTAACAAGATCTGATATATCTTATATACTTACTTCCATTTCACTTAAATAAAACATTTCACGTGAACATTTATTTCCTAAAACTGTAAGCCATTTTTCTCAGTTAACACCAAGAGAAATATATAAAACTATCCTATGGGGTATTTGGGGTTATATGGGGATTAAATACATTTTTACATTATAATCAACCATCAACAACATTATTAAACAATGTACTGTAACTTCTGTTTTAATAGAAGTAGGCATACAGCCCGGCAAATATCTTGACCATAAACCATAGACAATGAAGCCTGCGCAATAGTAATTTTACATCAAAAACGTCTACTGTGCATGTTTGTTTTACTGAATTTTACCCAAGATATTTGCCGCTACCTAAATAGATACAAATTATATCGTAGCGTGTTAACATTCAATTAACCAAAAAAAATGCATTGTTCCCTAGTAAAACTATCATGTGTTTTGTGTATGAAGATTATTTTTGTTAAATTTTATTTACATATTCCTCAAAGAGTGCTTTTTTTCTTTCATGATTTCAAAATTTTCCGCTTATAACTAAAGTATTGAAAGCATTTCAATGTTTTTCAGGTTAGTGGATGAAAAAATATTTTTCATGTCAAATAAGTCAAATAAATAGTTTATTTGATTTCGTTATCATCTCGTTGATATTTAGATAACCGTCATAAAAAAGATCACCAACTCTTTCAATTGCGCCTGTATCTTTTGCACCTTTTATACTATTCCACCCCCTTAAGGAAATTGGCCACATACAACAATCTATTAATAATTGAATTGTTTAATGTTTAAAGATAGTGTAATGAAATTGCGCCAGCGGCTTTAGTAATGTAAGAACAGTGAACAGCAGATCAGGGCTATCTCAATTATGGATAAATTAGGTCTGCCATTGACTATATTTTTCAATACTTATTTTATTAAACCAAACTTCTAATAAAACAGAGTTAGTGCACTCCAAGTAGCTTTATATTTTAAATGTGAGCACGCTTATATAAACAGGATGTTATTTAAATATTTCACTCTTAATTTTCAGATAAATATATGATTTTTTTATGTATATTGGAGAACAATAATCTTGGGCAAAGTGAGTATTGTCATAAGTTTTTATCTAAAACTCAAGATTTATTATTTCACGTACCTAAGCAATTAAGCGAAATTAAAATTTATTGAATTAAGGTTATGTTGCTTATTTTAAAATTTACAGTTTTTTTTATTTTCTTGTTTTGAGGCCGTATCCCTATATCTAGACAACGCTACTTATTTAGTTCTTTCGTATTTCTAATTCGATGTCGATAAATCAAATTTATCGACGTGGTGACAACCACATAATTATTATTTTCATAATTCCATTAAGTAATTATTTGGTAAATCCCATTTTCTTTTTTATTGTAAGACGTCGCTGTATACATTGAATAACGCTATGTCCCTCCAATGCATTTTATTTATTTTCATGATACCGGCACTTAACCACGGCTTTGTGCCGTGAATGTTCTTTTTGTAATAACAACAAAAGCAAACTATATTAACAGTTAACCCCGCAAATAGTGGAAGTCTAGCAATGGACGAGGTATCGGCAGAAACTATTCCAAAGAACCTGCTAGGTATGTACTACATATTTTTATAAAGAACTTAGGCCAAAGTATTTTTTAAATCGAGAGTTGAAGTCAAGTCCTTTTAGGTAACGTATACACCAAATTCTACGCTACGGTGGTTGTACATGTAAACAACAATACACACTTTACCCATTTTTTTTATTTCTGATAATTCTTATTCAGATTCTCTTTAGTATTCCCATATTTGTATTACATATTTCCTTTACGTCATTAATTTGCTTTAAAAAATTACATTTATCATTTTCTCTAAACCTAGGTGACTTTTCAAATACTTCTGATTTCAAACGTTTGCATTAAATCTCACTTCAATTTACTCTTTGTAGATAATAACAACTTGGTCTACCGATCTAGAAATTTATCGATATTGGCATTATATTCCTGATTCTTTCACATCTCTCACTAGATATAATATTTTCAACAACAAACGTTCTGAACTCTTAAAAAAATATGGTATCAAAGTTAATCACAATTTATATAATGATAATATCTAAAACATTTGAGTATTTGTTGAAACAATCTCTTAAATATCATAAACTAGCTGTAGAAAACACCAAAATATCATAAACAAAATATGGAATCACGCTTAAAAGCAAAGAAATCGTCACAACCTAAGTTTCTACGGATAGTGTACGAACGAATAGTGATGTCTTGGACAAGTTATCGATAAAAATCATAAAATTTACTGCAACAAAATAAATCTGAATCACGAATACATTTAAAATCAAATAACCTATAGACGTGGGTTTGACTTGTTAAAATTGTTAAATTATTACAAATCTGGAAGGTCTCAGTATTCGGCATGAACTTAGTTTTGATATAAATCAGCTTTCCCGCCGACTCAGCGAATGCGAGCAAAAACCTCTCCGTGAGATCTTACAGGAACGTAACTAATTATTTCTTATAGTTTGCTGAGCTTTGAACACAAATAAAACCCAAAATTACACCTCGAGTTCAGAACGCTACCCTACCTCCTTACTTCCTCATTATAGAATCAAAACACAGAAGCACAACTCCATTATAACGAGTGAAACTGTTAATTCTTTTGAGTATTTAGATAGGCACACGTTAATATGGAGCTGCGCTGGCTTATGTTTTGCTGATAGTCTACTACGAAAAATATGAACGATTCGGCCAAAGTTTGTCTTTTTAATGCATAAAGCTTCGACGTTATTTCTAAGTGCATCGTTGGAATGACCAGTTTCGGCTTGATTTTCGTTTTTATTTTTGTAGTAGGTCTTCTGTACTGTTCACGGAAACGAGCTAGTGGTGCGCTTACTTTATCGCAGCTGTCATCGAGCAGGATAACGATAGCCACAACCCTACCCTAGCATTAACATTTCGGCCAATTGCTGCATCTTTACATGTACGCTTTTTCACACGTGGAAAAGAGCAATCACGTAAAGATAGAAAAGTAAAAACGAGAATGCTTCTTTCTATCTAATATGAGTTCTCCCGCGTTGAATCTCGCACACTCGTGGGGGATAGCTGTCTACTTTATCTCTTCGCAATTATCTAAATGTGACTCAACTTGTAATCTCTTGTGTGTAAAATGCAGCAACTGACTGACTCTATCAATGCTAGGTCGCTTCTGTGAGTATGACTCGCACTGGTACATAAAACGAATCGAGAACGGCGACGCTAGACATTCTTCCCTTTCCAATCACAATGTGTAAGAAGGACATAATATCTCGCATCGTCATTGTTTCTTGGTGCGAGTCAGAAGTGAATGGACTGAACAAGCACTTGTAGCCGTAGCATAAAATCAACGACTCTCTAGAAAGAGAGAAAGCGATGATGCTTCTGCAGGTATTGTTCTCAATACCTAATGGCCGCATGATCTCTTCGTCTGTATCACACTGCTGGATAGGAAACCTTCAGTCCATTGCCCACGTCTATGACCAGTAGACCTATTCGCTAACTACTTTTGGCAGATGGAATTGATAATCACCGAGCTATTTAGTGATCCATTACTGCAATTATTATAACGCCACTAAGATACTTGTTCTGCAAAGCATCGATGGATAAAAAGGTAGCGAGTAAGCCGGCAGGAATGACGCGCATGGGGGTCTCTCGTTGTATTTATTTATTGGCGCAATTTGGAGACAAAAACACAAAGAGCAGACCGAGCGTTCCATTACTGAAACTGTAAAGTAAAGCTTGGCTGGTAAGCGTGTCACAAAAACCCGATTGGTCTATGCTTCAACTGCTTCTACCATCTTTCTTGAGAGTAGTCAATTTCATGTGAACGTCGTTCAGTTCATTCTCTATTTCTAAGATCAGGAATATCAGAATGTCCGCGTCGCCATAGTCCTACTCCTACAGTATGTCTTTCCGCCTCCTCACCCTCACTCCATAGTATCATACTGCACCTTCTTAACCTTCAAGTACCGCCATATCGCGTACCCAGCAAGCGTAGCCGCAGTGGCGAGAGCAAGCGCCGCTCCTACTGCCACCGGCGCCGCTTCCGAGCGTCCGCGTGCTGCGTCTGCACATCTCCACGCCGCGCCGAATGAGCCCTCGCGTCGGTACATGAAGGCTTGCAGCCTCATCTGGCGTAGGTATAATTTCGCGCGGTGCGCCGTCGCCGCGCTGTAAGAAAACCGACCCAATTACTGACTGACTGATCCCTAGATCTAAGATTCCTTCAATGAGGACATAAGGCTGATTGACTGACTGACTAATCTGTCGAGGCACCAGGTTGTTGCCTACAACCTAAACCTGATCCTCAGCCCATAGAATTATAACACGTAAAGTAAGGTACGCACGTAAGGTAGTGATTTTGCTTACTGTGTTTTTTTTTTATTTTTATGCAAGCAAACGAGCTGGAAGTCCACCTGATGGTAAGTAGTCACTGTCGCTTAGACACTTGCAGCATCCGCAGGATTCATTCGTTGCTGGCTCGCTCGTTCGTTGAAGGATAAGGTTTATCCTCCTTTTGAAGACCACCATATCATAGCTAAAAGGGAAAACCACTGCGGAAAGCTCGTTCCTGATCTTGTTGGTATACAACAAAAAGCAACACGCATTTCGCATAACGTAGAGGCCCTGTATAACGTATGAGTTAATTCTCTCTAACAGGGCGCTCCTATTCTCCAGAATCCACAAAGCACTATCTCTTTTAATGAAATTCAAATGAGTTTTTAGTTTAGATAAAAAAGTCTGTTAATTCTGATGCAGATAGAGTTCTCCGTTACTTAATAGCTACTACATTAAATTTATGTATGTGCGAGTTCCACCCGTTCCAAACCAGTTTAGTTTGATCAACCCCAACACAAGTTATGTCTACCCTGACCTTGGTATCGTTCCATAAGACCTTGTTGGGTTGGCTGATGCCCCAGATGACCTTGAAATTCATTTATTTGCAAACAAACACGGGCATAAAAGTCTTTTTAACAATGTCAATCTCATTATGTTGCACCAGTCAGACACTGGCACGAAAACAAATAAGTATAATTAAAATGTCAAATATGTCATTTTATTTAAACTTTTCCCATCGGAGTAGAAAATCATTTCCTATTTTTTGGCCTTTCCCTAATATTTGCATGCTTGTAGCTGCTGGAATTATTTTAGGTAGCATCGTGTTGTGATACTTCGGGAAAGATTTCAGAGGCTACAATTAAAGTACTAACGTATTCCAAGGTTAATTGCACAACAAACATGAAACAAGAAACAAGCTATTTTCACTCTATGCATTAGCTCAATCGAAAAAAGAACAAGAAAGTTAAAGGGAATATGCATGGTTTTCTTTACTATTTAACACTTTAAATCTCCTTTATACAGTATAAAAAATCTACCACAAATTTTTAAAAATTTCCGCAATGCACGGGCAGTTTTAACATGCGCTATTTTCGAGCGCTTGGATGTGACGTCACGATACATCTAAAGCTACAAAACAAGATCAACGACCTTATAATAAGTCCATGGACCTTAAATTTGCTCTGGACAGTGGAAGGATTTCGCCACGGGTTTAGGGAACAGCAACGCCCTGGCGTAAGTGGTCAGCGTGATCTTGCGTGCCTTGCTTAGCCGCGTGTTCGAGGAAGGTTTGTGATAACTTGATGTACGGCTGTCTATTGTAATGATAGAAGACCTGCGTATTTATGGATTTCCATCGATTAAACTCTTCAAATGTTACCTCGTATCGCGTTCTGTGAGTTCGACGATGATTTCCTCTGGCCAGTGGAAGGATTTCGCCACGGGTTAAGGGAACAGTAGCACCTTAGCATCAGTGGTCAGCGAGACCTTGCGGCCTTACTTCGACGCGTGCTCGAGTAAGGTTTATGGTAACATGATGTATGGCTGTCTATTTTTATGTTAGAAGACATGCGTATTTATTAGTTTCCATCGATTAAACTCTTCAAATCTTACCTTGTGTCGCTTTCTGTGAGTTCGACGATGGTCTCCTCTGGGCAGTAGAAGGATTTCCCCACGGGCGTAGGGAACAGTAGCGCCCTGGGGTCCGTGGTCAGCGTGACCTTGCGGCCTTGCTTCGCCGCGTGCTCGAGTATCCTCGCACTCGAATTGTACGTGAGTCGTATGCTGTTGACATACCAACGCTCTCCGCCGGGCGTCTGGGGAATAGCAAACAATACGTTTTGTGGGAGTTTCAATCTAATCAAAGGGGGTATAGTTGATTTGCCGAATGAGAATCCGCAAAATCTTTTCAGAAGACCACTTTAAAATAATGTCATGCAGTAAATATTTTTGTCTGTTTATGTAAAAGACCTAACTTTATCAGGGAACAGTATAGGGATAAGACCAGAGTAACAAAGCGCATGTTTTAATCTGGGGGCTCCACAGCACAGGGGATGCGATCAGAGTAACCATACGCGTGCTACTTATAATCTGGTATCGCAAACAAGCGTCTATTCTATACACTTACGATCAAGGGGACCTTTAGCTTATTTACCACCTTTTTAACATTAAAATTTCTCACGCGTTTTAGATATTCTTTACAAGTTAATAAGTCCAGCATTCTGCACATAATGGACTTAAAATAACTGGAAGTCCTGCGAGTCTCAGTCTTACTGTTTACCAAAGATTTGCTGTTTACTATTTCAGTCAATGCGACTTCAATAAATACTTATGATATACTCAAACAATGCCAGATATTTAAGTTGTAGCAATGACCATTTTTGGTTTATGGGCTACCGACATGCATTAAAACCTTTTACTAAGACAAGAGCCAAATAACCTTTTTCTATTTGTAATTTGGGCCCATAAAAATGTATTCCTACAGTGGAGCTTCGTACAATATGAGAATCGTAGGCTTAGGTAGGTATATTCCTGATGTATCAAGTTATTTTATTGACCGCTTGCTGTCAGCGAAACAAATGCATATGCATATATAAATATATACTAGCTGACTCGGCGAACTTCGTACCGCCCAAAAGTAATAATTTGCAATAAATTAAAATTGCGACTATAATTTGAGATTTAAACTATCCTATCTCTCAAGTTGGATCGAACTGCACATGGTATGCGAATTTTGTTATAATCGGTTCAGTGGTTTAGGAGTCCATTGAGGACAAACATTGTGACACGAGATTTATATATATTAAGATATTGTTTGAAACAAGAACAAGTGAATATTCAACTGTATAAACTCACCTTAGCAAATGACCACTCTAATGAGAACTCCTTGAAGGACAGGATGAGGGTTTCGGCGTCACCCTCCTTGCATACCCCCGCTACATTCGCGTTGTTTGGTACGAACGTGTTTGCGTCCTGAAACAAATCATTATTATTGTTGAGTATCGGGTAAACTGTTAGTTGCAATTTTGAAAGACGAAAGTTCACGAACATTAGACTCATCGGAAGTCTTCTAATGTATAAAATTCCAAAAACTACGGTGGATGCACTTGCATTGAGAAGAAGCGGCAAGAATCTCAGAAAGGGTTTTTTTTATTTTCTCCCTATTTTTCAAACAGACAGATACATCTATTTCAAAAATAACTAAATAATCAATATATAATATAGGATCTCGAAGAAAGTGGCCGAAACATTCCCACATAAATAATGAAAGACTGTCAAGAGTTTATAATATACTAGCTGACCCAGCGAACTTCATACCGCCATAAAAAAAATTAATTAAAAAAACATTGTCCAGCGGACAAAATTGTGAATCTAAACCATTCTCAGATCCCCTTGAACACACACAAAAAATTTCATCAAAATCGGTCCAGTCGTTTAAGAGAAGTTCAGTGACATACACACTCACAGAAGAATTATATATATAAAGATAATTAGAATACCACCCATTAGGAATCGTTACCTTTTTTATCTGGAAAATGCCCTTACGCATCCCGGACATCTGCGGGACTCCTTCTTCTTCACCGATCACCCGGCACGCATTATGAGGACCGAGGTGTCCCTAATGCGTATCGGGGGTGTTACGGAAACTGTCTCCAACTATATTGTTTTAACGATACGCAGAAATCAGCCATCGCAGAACATTTGATTGATTCGGGTCCTAACCACTGGATTGAGTTTCATAACCCACAGATTATCTCGACAGAACGCCACTACATACCAAGATTGGTCAGGTCAGTGAGGACGGGTTTAAATCGTCGAGTGTCTGGAATCCTGTGATTCGTATGTGTAAAACCGGAACTAATCAAAAAAGTGTCGTGTCGCGATCCGATACTGTAAGTGTTGTATGTTAAGAACAGTTTCGAGTGAATAGTAAGAATGTGAACAGTGGTACGGGTATCGAACGCAATAAAAGACTTCGTCGGAGGGTAGACCGATATGTCTGCCAATAACAGCCTACCCGCGATTATTTCAGTTACTCCGTGATCATGGCGCTTGCAACAGTGCCGAAATATCGGAAACTCGCTAAAAACAAGGTACATGGTAACAATCCCGTAAACAATTTATATTACTATAACTGCCTCCAACTGTCCGTGCTAGGAATACTTACCTTAAATTCAGAAACAGCTGTGTCTTTAAGATCAGTGCGTTCAAATCCTACAAACAACTTAATATTTTTTGCTGGTTTTTGGGTTAGTAAATATATTGCCTATAGGGTTACAAAAGATATTGCCTAGACTGTGACTTACAGCTCTCTCGTTCAGTTTGGTGAGATACGATATGTCGAGAAGCGCGTCGACCGTGAGGAGAATGCACGTTTCTTCTCCATCTCGCAGTCTGTACGTTGCTGTGTCCAGACTTCTCTCCGTAACTGCCTCCTGGAATATTCAATTCAATTCAAATTCATTTCAAATTCATTTCCAATTCAATTCAAATTCATTTCAAATTCAATTCAATTCAAAAATAATTTATTCAGTTTAAGCTTTTACAAGGACATGTGAAAGTCGAAAACTACGCCATCGGTTCGCAAAACTATAGCGGAAGACCTTGTACTGAGTGGAACCGGCAGGAACTCGGAAAGGGCTGCTTTTTTCTCCCTGTTTTATTTTATACAGTGTCATACTTACAGGTATTATATAACTTAACTTAAATATAGACTGCGAGATTCAAGAATGGTAAGGCAAAGCGAATTTTCTGCTGGAATTGGAGCACCCGTTTTTGGAAGCAACCTCCACTTTGGAGGAGACCACATTAAAGTATCACTAACTATTGATGGTGTTGTGTCAGTAGGGTTCGAGGGCTCCGCGGGGCAGGGGATTAGGTTCAGGTCGGCAAGATGAGGATGGCTGGAGTGACATATCTTCTGCCGCATCATGTATCTTCGCGACTGGACTCCACTTACACTTAACATCAGGTGGGATGGTGTATTTTGTTATACCTCGTATAAAAAATAGAAGTCAGGAATTAATGTAATAAAATAAATAAAAGTTTCCAACACTCAAAACTTCACACAAATTAGCCTAGCCCCAAAGTAAGCATTGTAGGCTTGTGTTATGGGATACTAGGGTAACGGATAGAATACATTTACTGATACAAATATAAGTATATTAACATAGAAACACATATAAGAATATATTTACTGATACAAATATACATGGAAACACATGAAATATTAAAAATCTGGACTGAAGTACAATTGCTCGTAACATCTGCCTCCACCGGGATTCGACCCGAGGACCTTTCGAGAAGACGACACCTTGAAACCCAGCGTACAAGCCACTAGGCCACGGAAGTCGTCGAAAGGTATAAAGAAAGAGTTCTCAATACTTAACAGTGCTTCGATATTTAATTTAAAATAAGGGTGAGTTTACCTTTGATTTAAAAAGAGTAATCAATACCACAATTCAAGAGAAAGACGACTTAAGAAGTTGAAAATACTGTGTGGTTTATTTAATTGGAATTTGAATACCTGTCAGTGAAGTATATCTTATCATGCAACCAAATAAGTAATACCATAGTAATACACAATAGTTTTAATGATGATATTTCGACAGTGCATAGATATTGGGCCAGTAATAATAGCCTGTTTCGGCCAGTAGTAGGAAAGGATGCTAATTTGAAATACTGTTGGTAATTTGGAATAGTGCAATATATTTGTATATGCTAAAGCGCCATCTATTAACGTATACCAGTTTTACGTAGACTATGTATTAGGAAACAAAATTGAGGTGGCTTAGAAGCAGCAATATAAGCTTGATAGTAAGCGGCCACCATATAGCCTATTTCTATAGGCTTGGAATATTATAGAAGCTTCCGATACTAAAAATATCCATTCGGACCGTTGCCTTACACAATCCTCTACCATGTGGAACCCTGGAAACCCTTACAAACCGACAGAAACACAACACCATCAAAAGGTAGTGCTTTTACTGTGATCTTCTGTAAGGTGGAAGTAACTTCCCCAAACGGGTGCTCCAATTCAAGCGGCAAATCCGTTATGGCCTACCTCTGTTAATTTTCACAACCGTTGGAATGTTGTCCTTCCAAGGGCGGATCCAGGGAGCGGATCATGGGGGTCATGACCACGACTATATGACCCCCCCCCCCCCCCCTGGCGCCAAAGCTGGATCCGCCCTTGTGTCCTTCGCCAAGTTTACCTACTTTCGTCTTTGGGAACCAGCGAAGTATTCTATCAGAAATAAGACTGACTGATATTGAGATCATCAAAATGTTGTTTTCGAAACTATTCAAGGTTGAAAACAACACTTACGTATCTCGGAAATTGTATAAGCGGAGCAATCATAACAATTCAACATCTTTTCTCAAAATAAAACACCGGATAAAATTATTGATGAAACAGATTTTCACTCGAGGAAAACTCTTTAGTTTTTAATAACAAAGATATTTGATGAAAACAGTAATTTGCTGCGTCTTAATATGCGTTATAGAGACCTGCAATTTCGAGCGTATTATGTGCACATTGTCAAACCCAAGTAATAATTATTTAGAGAATTCTACCATAAAAACCCTGTGACAGAAATCTTCAAAGTCATTAATATGTTTATTCACCAATACATTTTTTTTACTTCGCTGTCAATTTATACAGTGATCTAAGCTCTTTAACGGGAAACCCTAACTTAAATTTTACCAAATAGGTTCGCATAACCAAGTGTTGACAAAATCCGGGAAATGAAATTTGTCTCTTGTTCAACATGAATAAAGTTATAGCTAGGTCAGGGATAGAAATATTGAGCAATAAAAGTGTTATTCTGTTATACTGACTCACCGTTGATCCGCCAGGGGCTGCGGTGGTCTTACTGTACTTCGTGACCCTCGGCCTTCGTGTGGAGGCCTGACTGTCTAACTGGAGACATCCCACTGAACACACCACCAACACTGCAACAGCAAACCACATAGATACAAACACATTCGCTCATTCAACACAACCAAACTACTATAGTGAAGTTTGATTCCAACATCGATAAACTTCTAAATATGAACATTGGATCAATTAATGCAGCTTTGATATCGTTAACGAAGTCGATAGATTTCAAATGGCTCAATTCGTAAAATATACAGACGCGATTGCAGTGAACTGAACACACGCCGTATTTGAATGGCAGAAAACGAATCAGTATGCACACAATGAACGTACTGATTAGACTAGTGAAGTGAATGTAAAAAAAAATTATCGACAAGCCATTTTTTTTAAATAAATAGATGGATTCTATCTTAATTTCATATACTTCTACTATTTATTACCTTTTACTTACAATTAAAAAAATGCTGTTTGGTTAATTTATTCATAACAGTTTAAGTGTTTTACAGAATGATAATTCAAGTAACTAATCTTTAAAAAATATAGTACTTTTTAAATGAAATAATCATGCTCAGCATCATCAATATACAATTAAATATTTTTCTCTCATACTTCTGCAGCAATAATATCTTTTAGAACCATAAAGGATATGAATAGGATATAAATGTATGTATTTTTTTTTAAGGCAAAGGACTTCCCTCTTTTTTACTTATTTCAAAAATTTTATTGTACGCTTAAAAATAAAACCGCAACTTGCTTACTGATATACACTTCAGGACACATCTATCGACCCACATAGCATTTTAAGTTTTGACGGTCCCTAGCTTAAATAAATGTTCATTGAGCTAAAAGTTATTACCTACGCAGTTTTGAAGCTGGATTTATTAATCATCTTTGCGTGTGTTTTTTTAAATTATTGTTAACCAGTAACATATATTTTTGCTACAGACCGATGAAACTTATAACACTAAGCTTGTCGATAGATGTGCCCTAAGTACATATTGAACTTGAATCAAAATAATACAAACTTTTTATCATAGACTGTTTTGATGGAAACATCTCAAAACTATATATATATATTTATTTTATTTATTTAAACTTTATTGCAAAATTACAAAGCAAATGGCGGACATAATGCCATAAGGCATTCTCTACCAGTCGACCAGTAAGAGCGTGAGAAAAAATCTAATATGACGGGGCGCAATAAAGACAAATTTAAGATAAACCAATGATACAAATACTCTTAACAGAATACATACATATTATACACACACACACATATATATATATATATATATATATATATATACATATACACACATACATACACACACACATATTATACAATACATACATAAATACATGGTTTTGTCAGTCAAATATGAGAACGCTGTTTAATGCTATTGAGATAGTGCTCACGAACCAATCCCTTAAATGCAATTTTGTTAGGAGCTTTACGTATATTGGGGGGTAAGTCATTCCAGAGTCGTACAGCCGTGACAGTGAAAGAGTGGGAGACGAAGCCAGAAGAATGGACGGGAGTATGCAGAAGGAGATTGTCCGTTGAACGGAGAACACGGTCATGAGAATCACTCAGAAACCTAAATCTGCTTTTTAGGTAAACTGGTGTATGTGGATCGAACAGAAGATTAAAAAGGGCACAAACAACTCTGAGGTTCCTACGCTCACGAATAGGAAGCCACTTGAGCTGATGACGAAAATGTGAAATATGGTCGTATTTACGTAAGCCATATATGAAGCGGATGCAGTTATTGAGAAGTCGATCCAACTTATTCAAAAGATTTTCATTTATATCAGTATAACATACGTCGGCGTAATCGATAATAGGCAGAATGAGAGATTGAACAAGGACAATCTTGGTACGAGTGGGCAGAAAGAACTTAAACCTGTAAAGAGATCTTAGAGAATTGGTCACCCTATGCGAGACGAAATCGACATGGTCTATCCAGGAAAGTTTTTCGTCGACCATCAAACCCAAGTCCTTTAATTGAGCCGAGAAAGGAATAGTAACACCGTCAAAGAATATTGAATTAACTTGAGTAAAGTCAATTTGCGACAGTAGACGTGAACTGCCAACAACGATCGCTTGACACTTGTTTGGATTGACTGAGATACCAAAATTAGCCGACCAGTCTCTGATCACACTGAGATTATGATTTAAATCTGCAACAGCCTCATTCAAATGAATGCTATCAGTGCTTGCATATAGTTGTAAATCATCAGCATACAGATGGTAAGAGGAAGTAAGAAGTTCTGTAAGAGTATTAATGAAAAGGGAAAAAAGTGAAGGAGAAAGAATACCGCCTTGTGGAACACCGGCAGTCAGCTCGCGCCAACTGGATAACTCCTGATCGAAGCGAACAGCCTGCCAGCGATCACGAAGATAAGAAGTGAACCACTTCTGCACTGAGGATGAGAACCCTAGTCGAGAAAGAACAGCTATGAGAATATCATGATCAACAGCATTAAAAGCGTTTGAAAAATCAATTAAAATTATCAGTGTAAGACGAGAATTTTCCTGGCCATCCCGGACATCTTCAAGGATCTTGGTGAGAGCAGTAGTAGTACTATGGCCGGGACGAAAACCAGATTGAAAAGGACAAAGAAGTTTATTAGTATTAATGTATGAAGTGAGTTGTTTGTGAACTGCTGCTTCAATGATCTTAGATAAAAATGGAAGAATAGAAATAGGCCTATATTGACTAAGGGAAACGGGACTATTATTTTTAGGTAGTGGCAGAGTTAAGGCCTTATGCCAGAGATCAGGAAAGGAACCAGATGTTAGTGAAAAATTAAAAATATGAGCCAGAACAGGAAGTACAGAATCTAGTATTGAGATGATCATAGTACGACTTATATTATCGCAGCCTACAGCGTTAGATTTTATGGATAGAATTATCTTTCGGATTTCATCCTCAGTTATGAAACTAAAACAGAATTGTGAAGTTGTTGAGGGAACCTTGGAAGAAAGAACAGAGATAGTGGAGAGTTTGACATTGGGAAGAACAGGTTTAATAGAAGTGAAGTGTTTATTTAGCTCATCTAACGGAAAAGAAGGCTTATGACGAAGTTGTGATTTTCCAATGCCGAGAGTACGTAGAAACTTCCAGGTATCCGCAGGAGAAGATTCCAGGATATTCTTATGAATGTAATGGCGTTTAGCTTTTCTTACCATCTGATTGCAACGATTTCTGGCAGTCTTAAAAGCATCCCAGTGCGTATCAGTACGGCATCTTTTGTAAATGCGAAATGCTCTGTCGCGCTTTCGCATGGCCATACGCACACCAGGTGTAATCCAGGGCGCGGGGGGACGTCTTAATTTGACCTTTTTTAAAGGAGCATGCTTGTCAAACAATTTTAGGACCTTAGAGTTAAAGTAGGTGACCATGTCGTTGACCGAAAGCATTTCATGAATAGGAGACCAATCAAGTAAACACGCATCACGCTTAAGTTCTTCCGTGTCCATTCTCGCAAAGTTACGAATGGAAATAGTTTTTGGCTTCGATTTTGGAGGCTTCACATTATAAGCAATATAAATGAGATCATGTCTGGAGAAGCATGGGGCAGGGATTTGACCATATTTAACGACATGATCTGAGGAGGAGACAATAATGTGATCAATCCACGAATCGGATGTATTAAGATTATGATGTGAAGGATTAAGGTGTAAAAAAGAAAAGTTTGCCGACGTAATCAAAGAGCGAAGCTTTCGAGAAGAAGGTGAATTTATTAAAAGGTCAGTATTGAAGTCACCCATAATAACATGGTGACTATAATCAGTAGCAATGGAATCAATTAACGACTCAAGGTCAGAGAAGTAATCAATGGAAGGAGGGCAGTATACGACTCCGAGAATAATCTTAGTACCCCAAATATCAACTTCCAGGAGCAGATGCTCCATGCAGTCATGACGAGAGGAAGAAGAATATAAAACTTTCGCTGGTATGCGGCTCGACAAGTAAATAGCCACACCACCACCACCCTTACCGACGCGATCATTACGGAACAAGTGAAAACCTGGTGGACAGTACAAGGAGGAGTTCAAACATGGCTTCAACCAGGTTTCAGATACAAGCACGGCGTGCACTGTATCCGTAGAGAAAGCATCGAGAAAGTCAGTAATATGACATGGTATGCTCTGTGCATTAATGTGACATGCTCTGAAACAACTGGCAAAACTGTTAATTTCACGTGTGAGCTCCTGTTTCAATGAGAGATCTAACGAGGAGTCAAGGGAGTGAAACGACGAGCTACTATCATGCAGCGAATGAAAATCATCTGTGTCTGACATAAATACTTAAATATATATAATAAATAATATAAAGTACAAAATATTACCTAATAACAAAAATAAATAAATTGAATAACCAATAATAAAAACTGCACACCTTACCAAGCAACTAGTATGAGATTACAAAAGCTTAAGCAGAATAATAATTATTAACAACAAAATCACGAGAGAAAAAAAAAAACATTGAGCAACAATACAAACACAGAAACAGGAAGGCACATGTCTTGCCTTGTAAATGAACAAACAATAAAAATAGGTACATAAACATTGCTGCAAAATTATTATGAAAATGAAACGAAACATTAATTATACATATTACATACTAAGTCTATGAATAAAAAAAAGTATAAACTTGGCTGTATGAAATGAGGAGCATATATATGTATATAATTAAATAGAATGCAATAAATAATATCGATATCTACTTTTTTATAGAACACGTCACATCATTACGTTCGTTATGAATGGAAAATTGCGGAGCGCACATTCTGCCGTGCACTCAATCCCAGTTGACTCGATTTGTTACAATTTGAACCCTATTGTCACTTAAAATAAATTTGTGTTTGGCGAGAATCGCTGCTTAGCATCTTTACTTTTCGAACTTCATCTGTGAACTTAACAAAATAGTCTGTCCTATATTTAACACTTATTTCTATAACCCCGTACTTCCCAGTTCTGCTTTAGTTCGGATCAAATTTAGATAACGACATTTTGTCTATATATATAAATCTCGTGTCACAGCACAGTGCTTGTTATTGAACTGCT